CCATAAGGCAGAAGGAAGTCCTGGAAGAGCTACCTTCATATTTCTGATATTATTTAAGAACTGAGGAAAACTTTTAAAGGAAGCCACCTGTGTTAGTGCTTCACAATATCATCCATCCTATCAAAGGGCTGTACATGCTCTGACCTCTGCCTGTGGTTCCTGCCTCACTCCTGGCTACTCCCAACATCCCTTGCTGTTTAAACCTGTGCCTCTTTGATGCCTTACCATTTCTGAAGGCTAGGTGATATTCTTGTTTCTATCATCTTCACTGGAAGACTTCACTCTAGGGAAGACTGACAAAGCCATAGCCCCTCCGTTTAAATAGTCTGTGTATAAACTCAGTTAAGGTTTTTGAGTGAACAAGTAAATGAAGGGACAGCGCTTATCACATAGCGGCTTTGGCTTCAACCACTGCATACTCAGAAAATGTCAGCCCTCTCCTTTGACTACCCAGTCAAGGCCCATCATCATCATCACTGCACCATGGTGACTTTAGGACAACAATTAAAATAAATAGTGAGCATGCCATCACTTTATGTTCCCTAAGACACGGGCCCCATGATGGAGAACAGCACAGGCGTCTCACTAAGCACATAGCACTTCCTCTGGTTGGCATTTGAGGACAAAGCAGACAGCACTCTCCTCCGCACGACAGGTTTTTAAATCCACTTTCACCGTAAATTCATCTCACAAGAGTTACTGCAAGTGACTCAGCACTTTGCAGCTGCTGCAGAGATTTCAGGGTGCTTTAAAGTTCATTCGGATGTTTCCCCATTGTCCCTCGGAGAGGTCCTAGAAATCCTTTCTTCCCCCTCACTCTATAACCCTGTCTTATTTCAGTTTCTAAGCACTTTATATAAAATTGAAGTAAGCCACAGAGACCAATCTTTGAGGCAATTTAAATAAATTAGAATTCATAAGAACTTGCCTTCTCTGGGCTCTAGGGAAAAATAAGGGCACACTTTGCTCTTGGAATGTGATTCACAGTCTTTTGATAAAGAAGCAACAGGGAGACTAATATGAAGACTCATTATCCCAGCTTCCATAAGAGGCTGAACACATTTGGAAAGATGACTCAAACAGAGAGGGATGAGATGAGGGATGAGATGGGGAGGACCTGGAGATCCAAACATGAAGTTGGAAATGAGGACCCAAATCTGGGCGTGACATGACATCCTTGTTTGGAAAATGACTCAAGTTTTTCCAGTGATGGGACCCATGTGTATGGCAGACACAATCCTTACACTGGTAAGAATGGCTCTAAAGCCACTGTTTTCCCTTGTCAATATTCTCATAGGTATCTGAAACATTGTAAAATTGTCCTTTATTTGAGACAGTCTCAAATCTTGTCAGGCATCAGTTGTCATCAGTCAGGCATGCCACATTGCAGCAGTGGACACACTTTTCAGTTGTCATCAGTCAAGCATGCATGTCACTATTGCAGCAATGAGCACACTTCTCAGGTGTCATCAGTCAGGCATGTCACTATTGCAGCAATGAGCACACTTCTCAGGTGTCATCAGTCAAGCATGCATGTCACTATTGCAGCAATGAGCACACTTCTCAGGTGTCATCAGTCAAGCATGCATGTCACTATTGCAGCAATGAGCACACTTCTCAGGTGTCATCAGTCAGGCATGTCACTATTGCAGCAGTGAGCACACTTCTCAGGTGTCATCAGTCAGGCATGTCACTATTGCAGCAGTGGGCACACTTCTCAGGTGTCATCAGTCAGACATGTCACTATTGTAGCAATGAGCACACTTTTCAGGTGTCACCAGTCAGGCATGTCACTATTGAATCAGCAGGCACACTTTTCAGGTGTCATCAGTCAGATGCCACTACTGCAGCAGTGGGCACACCTTGCCTGGTGGGTTGGTATTGTAGGAGAGGTTTAAATTCTTCATTTATATTAGCATTTTAATACTACCTACAGAATAAATATGACTTCATGAGTAGAAACTATTTGTTTCAAAAGAAAGAATTTATGAGGGGGAAAAATATCTTTACTTTGCCTGACCAAAAGGGAAAAAGGTTTCACTTAATTACAGAACCAAGTTCCACATATCATTAGAAAATATGGTTTTCAAACAATGGGGAAATCAGATTATAAAATTTTATTAAAGTAATAGCAAGGGTACGTGAGCCAGGAGGTGGTGCTGCACACCCTTAATCCCAGCACTCAGAAGGCAGAGGCAGGCAGATCCCTATGAGTTCAAGGCCAGCCTGGTCTACAGAATGGAGCTCCAGGACAGCCAGAGGTATAAAACAGAGAAATCCTGCCTTGAAAAACAAAAACAAACAAACAAACCCCCCCAAAAAAGAGGTGTGTGAACCATGTGACTTCATTAGAGCACAAACTTCACTGCCTTACATTTCTTTATCAAATACATCACATCCAATCTTTTTTCAAATTAAAGGAAACAGGAACACAGGCGGCGGGGGGGGGGGGGG